ATATAGCACCAAATGATTATATTAATGAATATCAATTAGGCTAGAAAATTTGCAACGCTTATATGGGGAGAAAAGCAACTTTCGCCGTAGATGAGTTTCTTGATATTGGAAATAAATGGCGCACTGACGACGAATCAGTTGAGAAGAAAAACCTTATTTAGGAACTAAAAGAATGACGGCGATTAAACCGAAAGTATGGATAAATGGGGCGTTTGCTTTGATCGAGATGTAAACGACCGTATATAGGGGTTAACTAAAGCTGACGGTGTAGCAATTTTACTCCCTAATGTCGAGGTCTTTTCTCCGACGGGTAACAGCAATAAAAAGCATGTTAGCGAAGTAAGACTAGATCAAATTAATCGGCTGAAAGCCGAAGATGAAGAATATAATTTCTATCAGAAACGACGAAAGGGTATAATAGTCGTAAGTGAAAGCAGAGGTTATCAATATCAGCAACAGAAGGGCTGTTGATGATAAAGATGAACTCTTTACTCTTATCATTGAATACTAAGATGAAACTGCTATCTTGGTAATTTGCACGAGACATAGCTCATTTACCGAATTAAACATTCAGTAATAACTTTAAATAAGCTAGCAAAAGAGATATTAATTCGGAATCCGTTGCGCGAGAATACCGATAAACACCCTAAGCGCGTATAATTGCACCCAATTCACATTATGAAAGCTCTGTACCATCGGTACATAACCTTAAATAAATGTCCTTTGTGGTCGAACAATCAAAATTCCTTGACTAATTACCGGACACTATTAACAGACAGTATTCTAGATGTTGAACGAAGTCAAGTAAATTCAACGCTTTATTTTATTTGGTACAGTTTCCGAATTGTAAGAACACCGTAGGCAGGCCAAGAAGCATCGTTTAATTGGCCAGACTCACAATTTTGGATGTAGTTTTAATTATAGACGTAGATGACCTAATCGTTGCAAACGAGATTCGAAATGTCGGACATTAACTAGAAAGAGTCTGTCTTTCCCACAGTGTGGATTAGCTTTCGGACGTAGGAGATGCTACTGTATGGCAAATGAACTATAAAAACGTCTTAACATTGAGAGAGATGAATAGGAAACTGAACGTTGTTATGAAACGACAAAATCTGAGCAATCGAGGTGCTTCTTGCATATCGTAGTGTTGCAGATGTTAGAAAAGTTGTTGGTCCAACAAGCTTTCCTCGAAAGTATTTACATCAACGGCAAACTCGATAATAAGACTGTGAAAGTATGTCAACCTTGCGTTGAAGGCAAATGTCCGACCAAATTTAGAAGCGTGAAAGTGTACAGTAATTTCAGAATCAGTTCGAGCACGATTCGATTGCTCAAAAAAATGAAATCGGACTTGATGTTAAAAGAACCTGGAGCGCTGTTATCGTTAGAAGCTAACTACTACTAATAAAAACCGTGCAGCTCAACGTACCAGTGGTTGTATCTATATGTCGCATTGAACTTTATCCTGCTACGTGGCACACGTACCTTAAAGGCGGAGAAGAGCACTACCATGTTCGAAGGAATGGTTACGTGAATACTGAGGACAAACTTACCTGAATTCAATAGAAAGTATTTTCTAAAGTTGCGATCTTAAGTCCAGTATGGTTAGGCTTCCTTCCAAACTTCCCAAAAGGTATATCAATGGCGCGTTCAAAAAAGCGGCAAAAAAAGTTGGAGAGGATTTAGGAGAATAGCTAACATCCCCGAGGGAAGCCGAAGTAGAGGGGTTCAACACTAAATCACAAATTTAGTCGAAATAGAGGTTAACTGATTATTGAGAAAAAATGATTTGTTAGAAGTAGGTCTGTTCGTTTTCTGAACTGAATTCGTAAACTGAAACAAGCATCATCTTAGAAATTAAAGGTGCTGCTTATTAAGTCCGGTTCCACCCCAGACGGAGTTTTGCAATTGTTTTATTGCGAAACCACATTGATCATACCTGATATCTACTTTACCTCGTACTATACCCACCGAAGCATTTTATGAAATCCACAAAGACTTCCGTTGATCAATAAGGGTTTTTATAAATTAGTTACTCGGCCGTCAGCTGCGCACATTATTTTTACAAACATATTCGTTGATAACATACATGGTTTACGTGTATGATTTATTGATTAGTCTATACAAGAAGCCTTGATACTGAGAAAGCACAAAAACGTCTGCAAAAGGTAATTAATTCAGTTTCGTGCTGGTATAGAGAATATTACACGCGTAAATATATTTCCAAATGCGCTGCATTTTGTCTCAAAGACTCTAGGCTGTATCGTTCTAGCAATAAGCCTATACTAATTCGGTTTTTAATCAGGAGGTTCGGTATGATAACTACACAGAGATATGATTTTAATCGGTGGAGTCATCTATTTAGTTTTTCGTACCGCATCCTTGCGCTTATTTGCTACGAATACGTTACCGTTTACAAAAATGTAGCTATTTTTGCACTTAACTATTACTGTGACTTGTGTCGCGCACATATTTACATAAACACATACAAGCAATATAGTAATTCCTATGTAAATTTGTGGTTCGTATATCTGCTAAGTACCGGGGTCCTTAAAACGAAACGATCACCCTTTAAAATGAGACAGATACTATATTATACAAACAACTTGGGGATCAGGCAAATACTCCACATGTTTCAAAATTAAGATATTCTTGAAGTAGATAAACAATATCCGTTATCGCTGAAGTAAAAAAACAATTCTTCCTACCGTATAGCCTGAATCTACATAAATGGATGCGATTATATCGAAGTATCCATTAGTGCTCGGCATAATGCAACGAGAGGTCTCCAAAGATAACTACGAAGGTTTTTCTTTTCTGTTCCGTTCAAAATGCCACCCTGAAGACAAGAACCTCACTACGCCTAATTAATCCATAATGCAGCTCTTTCCTTAAGAGTAATACTCTCCATCTACAATCGGTTTCAAGGATTCCTCAACTCCATTTCATTTAAAGTGTAACCTTGAAAACAAAAGCCTGATTAACTAGGTATAGAGCTCTTAATTATTCTTGTTATATTCATCTTCAACTCTCAATCTTCTTTAGCAGTTTCCTGGCGCAATATAAACAAGCTGTGATAACCCTTCAGCCTGCAAAGGCAAACGAGTCAAGGCTCAGCGGCAACTATCAACCCGGCGCTCCAACGTACTTCCTCTCAAAGTTGTTTGAAAAAGCATCCTATATTAACCCGTCCCAATCACACTGCTACGATCTTGACCCACCCGTAAATTTGGCTTTTACGCGTGTTGATGAACTGAAATAACTCTGTGGTGTACTCAGTTATATGATATACCATATCGTTGAATAAAGCATTTTCAAAAGCACTGATTTAAACACAATTATTTACGATGAAACGGATATGAATGATTTTGTAGACATAAGCTGTGTTAGCTATATGAACGGTTTTTACACCTAGCTTATTTCAGTATCGATGGGTTGGTTGCCTTAAAAATCTGTCGAGCTTTTAAATGAACCAAGTTACTTGTAACCTATTTGTATGGCGTATTGAAATTGGCAACCCTGCCCTATCAGTAAACGAAGTTCTATTCAACAGAAATGTATGACACATGCTTATACAATCACCCTGCAGTTAGTTCGGGCTTTCAAAATGAGATCAAATACTTACCTCTACCTGCCGTGGAAGCCAACGTTGCACACAATGTTCTGTATCAATTACGAAGTCTCCATTACTAATCTTCTTCACGGCGCATTTTCTTTCAGTTACTTAATAAACTTTGATTTTTCGAATTAATAGGAGCAAAAGAAGACAGTGAGGTATTGCGCAACGCATAAAATAATAGGCCCTCCTGGTCAATTTTAGATATAATAGTACATCTTTTGGCCCTTATTTAAAGTGTTTATTTTAGAGATATCGAAAGCTAAAACTTGTTATGACCCTAGCAACCTTGTACTGATGGAAAGTGTTGGACAAAGCGGAGTTTATAACCTCTTATGGGATACACTTAGATTAGTGCAGTTTTCTACGCTTAGATGTTCATTCACTTTTTCGCCAGGACTTATTTTTTCAATACCAGCCTCCAACACATAACATTCAGGCTTTCGTATCGGTGCCCCCCATACCTAATGCGTGATTGCAGCGCCGCCCATGATGTAAACATACTCTTCACAACACTCCTATTTGAAACCCCGTGAGAAGTGCATTGACAAGACCCTCCCGAGGCGACATTTGTAGACAAAAACAGTTATCAAACGTTTCTACTAACACTACTAAGTCTGCTCAGCATACTTAAGGCATCGTATATCTACACATTGATTGAAATGGGAACGGGCTCCCTCATTTGTTTTATGTTATCAAAAGAAATATACTGTTTTCCAGTACAACAATTTTTCCTACGAGAAATCAGATTAGAAAAACCGTGAACAAGTGTGTACTAACGTCAAAAAGACTTGGAAGGATTTGTATTATGTCCTCTGACAAAATTGATCTCCAGAGTAACCTTATGCGCGAAATCGGGCGTTAATACAACACTTATAATCAATAACCTTACCGCTTATAACTAACACTTCACACCAATAACACTTAACATTACCTAAAGTATTGTATAATATGTATTTTGAAATTATCCAGTTATCTAATAAATTACAAAGGATTCTAGTACATTCGTTTGGTACTGCTTAGCAAGATTTAAAAGGCCATCGGAAAGTAACAAGACGTCTAAAAAGCCAAAAGAAAGTTTCCGTAGCAAATGGGGAATACAAATGCACAAAAAGCCATCTTACGCTTTAGATTAATTTCAGTAAGATCTTCAACCGGTCGTCGGACTTTGTATGTATTCCAAGCGTTCGTTAAAGTGAGAGTTAGTGAATTTTCTTAATTTTGTTTTCAAATACGTCATATGTAGAGACCTTTTAAAAGCATCACATCTTCGTTAATTACCCAAATAACTACGCAAATTTTACTTAGCATGTTTAGACTTTACATGATTAAAGCCAAGTGTAATACGTTAATTTTGTACCAAAGTGAAAACAAAAGTAAATGCCGTAATTGTACCACATTTATTTACGCTTTATTTACGTAAACGCTATTCACTGAATACTTGTCAGTATCGCTGTCAGCTCTCGATTTTTCGTTCTCTTTCATTGCAATACAGATAACTACCTTTTCGATCCTGGACTCTACGGTCAATTCTATAAACCATCCTCTTTACCCTAATTTTTAACTGAAAAAGTGTTTTTTGAATTTCTTTTTATTGTTTTGACGTTCATGTTATACGTACAATTTGTGCCCTTTTGTTGGAATTTTGTCACTGTTATTTTCAATATTTATTTTTTTTTGTGATAGTATTTAGATTTTATAAGTTCTGACCCTAACAGGGCGTCTTCAAGAATGCGCACAACTTCTGTGTCCTCACCCTCTCTTTTGCGGCGTTCAATCTCAGCTAGTAGCTCTTCTTTCTCTAGTCGTCTAAGATATTTCTTAGCAAGGATCGTCTTCGCTAGCTTTTTCGTTTCGGCTTGCTGGGTGTACTCTTCTATGGTACCATCCTTCAGCTTTACGTACATTGTAACTTCCACCATATCCTCGTCTTCGTCTAAAAGATTCCAAAATAATCAATATTGAAAATCACAAATTTATGTATATATATAGTTTCTATATATCATATATAGTAATAGGACTCTACACCGCAACATTCGGTCGCGCCATATGTCCTGAAATATGATCTTAAGCAGCAGTCTATGTGCTTTACTAATTTTTGCTTGGAACCAGTCCATTAGGAACGCGGCGATCGATAACTGCGAGTCGCACAAGCGTTGTTCAGATTATCGCCCATCACTCGCACCGTTCGTCAAACGCTGCAACGCCTATTCTGTTCCCTCAAACTTGACCTTCGCCTTCTGCTGCTGAGACAACTCCCATTGGTTGCTGAGTTTGTTACAGCTAATTACTCGCTAATGATCCCTCTAACTCGCTAATGAAAATGGAAGTCGAAATGCGCGCATGTATCTCCTAGACTTAAAACGGCGCCGACCTTTGCACCGAACCAGTACAATCATGCTACAGTGTCCTCTGCACAGTTTTCACCTGCTTTCCCAGAGTGACAGCGCGTGATCGCGGTTTCGACTTCGACTCGCGCGATTCACAATAGTGCTGTGCCATTTTTGATTCAGAACAGGAGCCACCTGATGACTACATACGTAATAAAATCTACTGCTCGAAGATGCCCTGTGGCTCACCACAGTGGACAAATTTTTGGTATATTGTGAAAGCCAGCTGACCGGCTAGCGCCTCTTACTCGTACTTATACGGCAGCTCGATGCGCACCAATAAGGCCGCTTCTCCGTATGGATCATTTCGGACGCGCGCATAATTATGCCGCGTTCTGTAATGCTTACAACAGAAAGAACTCGAACAGATGAGCCTTGCGTAAAAATGCAACTTATTCTGGAGACACCACCCATCACAGCGATAGCGACGAAGATACCTAGGACTTGATATAATATTAGTCTTGCTTTTTACACATATACCAGGTGGAACAATATTTTGCTAAAAACTGGAAGAAAGTCACTTGACTTCGAGAGCCTTCGTTTAATTTGTTTATTTTTATTTTTCTCCCTTGCTACCTTAACAGATGGGAAATGAGGACTCTTAAATCGTGAAGACACTTGTACTTCAGCCTATAAAAATAAAAATCACATAATTCAGTGTTCAACCTTGACTATTGGAATATATGGAGAATCTGAAAGCCCATAGCAAATCCATCAAAAGCACAATAAAGCGAGCAATTGTTCTATACTATAATTTGAATTTAAATATTTGACAAGTTGAAGGAACTACTACTACAAGATAAATAATGGTAATAACTTTTACGGTTTCCATTTCGTTTTTGCACTTTGTTCTTTACCCTGAAAACGAAAACATTTAAAAACGTTCCACTGTGGTACCAGACCTGGTATACCTAAATAGTGACACAAAATATGATGTATGTCTCCAAAAATATCGGGAATTTCTAGAGTTATTTTAAGAATCGGATCCGGACTTACTTTCGGATAAGATTGAGAACCCGGTTCAAGCTATAAAACCAATTGATCTTGCACATTTTTAGCTTTTCTATGTATTTTTATGTAACAAGATATTTAGAGTCACCTAGTTAACCCAGAAAAACCATCACCTTAGCAAATTTTGATTTTTTTGAGAATTAATGATGGCTCTCGTCAAGGATATTTCTCTTATCTTTTTGTATTTCTCACAGCTAAGATTTCTCTGCCAAAACAATCTTATCCTGCTGCGAATACTTGATATCTTTAACATCTCATCGCTTACTTTCAATATATCAAACACTTTCGTGGTGCCATGTTTTACGTGTACTTGTATTCAAGATCTACTACAATTGGCACTTAGATGAAAACGTATGAAAGAGTTTATGTAAATACTTCATAGTAGTCATAGTTGAAAATAAAGTGTCACTTCTCTTCCAAATTACCTCTTTTTACTATGATTGTGCAAGGGAGCACCGTGGCATCTGCTTCCTTATATAGGTTACTACAACCTATTTTTAACAAACATAGCGCAAAGCAAAATTTACCATGGCTAAACAGAACCTTCCTTAGCGCAGTAACGTGTGCATAAACACAAATGTTCTGTCATGTAATGTTCGTACATACGTTTAGTAGCAAAATAATGGCTTGAAACTTTTTGACTCTCCATAAGAACCTCACATGCCTGAAGGGGTTTGCTGTGAGTTTTACCGAAAAACACGCTGTATCTATAATCGTAACATAACTAGAACCTATTTGGGAAAAACTCTCAGACAATACAAGGGCAAACATAAAACCGACAATGAGTCGACCATAAGACATCTGATTTAGGCATATCTGTCCTAGCAAAACAGCATACATTTTTAAGAAAGCAGTGGTAAGGCGTATACTTACCAGCAGGTATGTCACGCTTTTTGAACGATGTACCCGGAAATTTCGTGCAAACCTCCCGAATAGGTGAGATCGGTATGTGTTTAGAGAACACAGAAATTTCATATCCCATTATTTTGACGATAATCTTCCAGACTTGTTCTAAGGATTTATCTGAATCCAAAAATACAGCAGCAAGAAGAGCCTCCAAAATACGAGAAAGAGATCGCGGTACACTGGCCTCTTCAAGATCCTCTGTCTCCCAGTCGCCTAGCACCGTATTCAGTCGCAATCCGATTTCCTCGATATTATCAATATATTTCCTGATCGCTGTCCATAATTTGTTATTGGCATACAATAGCGAAGAATGTAGCTTGTTCTTAACAACTGCATGGGCCAAGATTTGGCTATTAGTCAGAGCCGCTCGTAAATCAGTCAATTGTCCTTGGTCAAGTTTTAAGTTCATACGATAAATATACACGGTAATGAGAAAATCAAGCAGTCCTTCACCTAGGAACGCCAACCGGCAATTTGTGTCAGTCAGACGGTGCGCTTGACATGACGGATGCGTGATAGCTTGTAAGGCAAGAACCTTGTTTTGAAATACGTATCCCAGTATATTTTCGATACGATTTATGTGATGCTGAAATGGAGTGAAATCATTGGGCTCAATGGTGTCTTTGCCAGGTGCTATGTTTAACTTAAACGCATCAATAAAGTTTAGAGTGTGGGTGTTGCCGAAGTCGAGACCAAAAAAGTTAAGCAATTTAAGACCACCCACAGGACCGCACTTTTCCACGTAAAGACCGATCAACGCCTCTACCACATCACCAGCCACCTTAGGTTTGTAGCTCTGGAAACCCTTTACGAGAAGGGTGTTTCTATCAGGGAGAAACCGATCTTGAAGGAAGTTCTGGTTTAACTGAAATTACGATATGACCAGTTACAAGCTTAGTTAACGAGTACCTTATTTCATACATGGTAGTTTCGAATCAGATAAATTACATAGAATTTCTACTACTTGAATATTAATAGGATGCCTATAGGTAGTTACTAACTTAAGACAAATTTGAAAATTGTTAAGAAATACTTTTCTTGTTTAGAGAATATATCAGACATTCTCCAGGGTCCCAAGTACTTTTTTTTTAGTTTTTTTCCTATATTGTGTTCGAAAAATCATAGCTTTTAGAGAACTCTTACCTCTATGAGAAATTCCTCCTCTGACATTTGCTGTATTTGTTCGAGCAGTTTGTCGTAATACATAGCAAAGCGCATGTCCTTTAGCATTAGTTCACCGTTGTATTCGTAACCGTACGTTCCAAGAAAGACACGGAGGAAATCGGGCTCAAGTAATCGTTCTTCGTGGGGCCATACCTGAAAGCCCGGAGGAAGAAAACAGCGTCGGGCATGGAATGGTACTGTGTTTACGAGACTTGTAAGGTTATGTTCGAGAGCCCGGTAAAGTAAATGCTGGTTGCACACTTGGTACTGACGAAGAACAGCAAGTTCGCGAGTTGTCTCCATTGCGTGGCGGTCAATCAAAGCAAAAGTAGCTGCTATCTGTAGGAAGGCATCACCCAACAGTTCCAGACGTTCCATGTCGAATAGGTCGTGCGCGTGCTTTGTAGAAAGGGCCTTCATAATATCGCCCGGAGATGGACCCAAACAGGTGGTTAAGTCTGGCTGCTCTAAAAGTTGCATGCCTGCTAAAAGCTTCTGCTCATCGAATTCACGCGACTCACTCGCCATGAGACGGCCAAACTCTCGAAAGCCCGTTTGAACCGATTTATCACCTGCAAGACTCTCAAACCGTAGAGGCTCCCAACTTTCTCCACAACGCAGGGGACGGCCTAGTCCAGCTTGATTAATAATGCGCACCAATAGATCATCAGCGACGGCTAGCCTATTCAGTCGATGCAGAATAGACGGAAGCGAGGTGGCTTTACGCCATACACTGGCTTTTAGCGCGTGTATAGCTACGAACTCTGGCAGAACGTAAACCTTGCTACTGCCACGATCGTTATTGATATCACGTGCAGCGAAATGGGTCCCAGCGCGGTCGGCAAACCGTGGAATTGTCATCTCCAGTCGTTTCTGAACATGCTCCACTTCGAGTAGTGGCTGGTCATCGTTTGTTATGTTATTGCGGTTCGTTCGCACGGTCCTCTGGCTCACATACTGAGCGAAACTTAATTGCCTAATAGAACGAAACATTAAACATATATACTATTAGTACACGTCACTTGCGTGTCATGTCTGTTAAATTATATCTGCTGCGTAAATAAATAAGAGTCCTTTCGAATGTTGAGTAACGAGGTTCTATATGACATATAATACGACAGGATACGCTCTTCAGCATTGCGTACATAGCTTTAGTTAAACGAGTCACCAATGATTAAAAAAAATCTCACGTGCTTGTGTACAAGCGGTCTTAAATTC